CGTTAGAAGAAGTTTGCGTTTTAAAAAAAAATGTGGCTCTCCAAAGACATGTCCATCGTTGCACAGTTGATATTTGGCTCTGGGGACTCATGAGTTTGCCGACCACTGGGTTAGGGCAACCTAGAGTCATGTATCAATTATACATTGTATCGTTAACACTTCACCACTTAGGGTAATATATAGCCACGTATCAGCTATACCTTGTATCGTTACCACTTGACGGGTTAGGGCAACATATAGTCATGTATCAATGATACATTGTATCATTAACACTCAACCGGTTAGGGCAGCCTATAGTCGTGTATCAACTATACATTGTATCGTTACCACTTCAGGGGTTGGCGATGTAGCACAACCTATCCTTCTGAGTCTGTAGGGTTGGCCTCTGTCAAACGGATAATACTGATTCTACTTTGGTCCCAGGGTTAAACATGAGGGAACAGGAGAGTGCCCCTTATAAGAAGGTCTGTAGACACGTTAGTCGTGGATAACCAGGATGCATGCAGGCTTTTCTCGTCTGCTTCTGGGGAAGGGGATGTTGATAGTCGAGAGCTTCCAGAATAAGGTCGTCCTTCCAGAAGTTTCAGATGCTTCATGCTCACTCTTTTGCATGCACGTGGCCTGCAGGGTGTCTGGTGGGGTCCTGGGACTCGAGGCCACGTGTTCTGCAGTGTCTCTAGTGCCGGGGCGGCAGGAGCTGTGCTGCCCTCCCACGGGACCCCTGTTCCTGTGTGGGTCCCCCCGTGGAGTCCACATCGTTGCCATGGAGGCCCCATGGTAGTTGGCCCGGATGTGGGCCTCCACCCTGGACCGAGTTAGCTGATGTAGACCAACCTCTTCCCAGGCAGCAATCCTCCTCCCTCTCTCTCTCTCTCTCTCTCTGTCTCTGTCTCTGTCTCTGTCTCTGTCTCTCTCTCTGGAATAGTTATCAGAACCGGCTGTGCGGCCCCAGAGGGCGGTGGCTGTCAGGCTGTCATTGTAGCTAAAGATCCAGGCTCCGTAGCTTTGGAACTGGAAGCTTTTACAGTCCCTGCCTTGAGTCGTGAAATAAATGCAAAGTGTGTGGGGGAGCCAGTGGGGGGCGCTGCTTCAGGCTCCTGCCCACCTCGACTCCTTCCCTCATGGGCTAACCCCGGAATGCATGATTCACCAGCCACGGGTTCCACCCAATGCCCCCTGTGGCTTCAAAATGTGGTTGAACATGGCAAAGCTGGGAGGAGGGGCCTGGGGGGGCAGGGAGGGAGCCCCAAGCAGCCACCGGCCCCGTGTTCCCGGTCCTCGGTCCTCGCTGCTCAGAGGTGATGAGGGTCCAGGGGCCGTCCCGCGCCGGGCGTGGCTGGGCTGAGTCACAGCCGCCTTGGGAACTGCCACCCAGGATGCCGGCAGCTCCCCCTTTTCCAAACGGGGGTTGGCAACAGCAGGCTCAGAGGACGGATCGGTCAGGGTTTGGCTCGGCGGAGAGGGCATCAGCCTGCGGACTGGAGGGTCCCGGGTTCGACTCCCAGTCAGGGCCCGCGGCTCGGGCCCAGTGTGGGGCGTGTGGGAGGCAGCCAGTCCATGGTCCAGGGTGTGGGGTGGTCCAGGTGTGAGGTGGCCCCGAGCTGCTGCTCAGAGACCGCCCTGGCGGTGTTGGGGCCTGGCCTGCCTGGGGGCCGTGGCCGTGCCAGATCAGCCCTGACCGATGTCCGACCAACCGGGACTTTTCCTGGGAAGGAGGAGGGTCCTGCCAAGGGCGTGTCCCCTGGAGCTCAGCTCCGCCCGTGTGTCCCGTGCTGTGCCATGTGTGCACGGATCCGCGCGCCTCTGGCCCAGCTGGACCGCACAGTCCAGGCCGCCTGGCTCAGAGCCAGACGTGGAAATGGTCCCGGCCTCTCACTCGCCCTTTCCCGCGATGACTCACGGTCCTCTCTTCCCCAGGCCCCTGGGAGCCGGTTTCTCTCTCCCTCCCTCACACGCATATGCACGTGTGTGCACACATGACGCACACCCGTGCGCCAATGCGCACACGTGTACACACACACCTGTGCGCATGCACACACATATATGCACAATCTTCGGTAAGTTTCTTCCCAGCGGCCATGGCCCCAGCCCATCACACACGGTCTGCGTGGCTGATTGGGTCCCACGGGCCCCGCCTCGGTGCCCAGGGCTGAGAAAGGTGTTGCTGTGTGAGGTTCCCCCGGAGATAGGACTTGAAGTGTCAGTCTCGCCCGTGACTGACATGACTTCATTGTCTACCAGAGGCCCCGTGCACGAGATTCACACAAGGGGCTCGGCCCTCGCAGCCCTGGCTTAGTCTGGAAGGTCGTTCAGCTGGGCCTGTTCTGGGTACTAGAGTCACGGAGGGTGTCAAGGTCAGCAGTACGCCTGTGCCTCGGCCCACACTCCGTGGCCACACAAACATGGCCCACATTCCATAGCCACATGCCACGGCCCACACTCCGTGGACACACATGGTCCACATTCCGTGGCCACATGCCACGGCCCACACTCCGTGGACACACATGGTCCACATTCCGTGGCCACATGCCACGGCCTGCACTCCGTGGACACACAACGTGGTCCACATTCCGTGGCCACATGCCACGGCCCGCACTCCGTGGACACACAACGTGGTCCACATTCCGTGGCCACATGCCACGGCCTGCACTCCGTGGCCGCACGCACGGCGTTCCGCAGGGTATTTTGGGTGCACTCATAGTTCCGCGATGAGCTTGCCGTCGGCCTGCAGCCTGCTTCTAATTGGCTCGTTAGGAATTGGCAAACGCCTCTCGTGCTCAGAATAGACGATGCTGTCACGGCTCGGAGCCACGCTCTGACTGCAGGCGTGCTGCGCGTTTTTCCCGAGCGAGTGCTCGCTCTCCTTCCCCCCCTGCAGCCCGTGTGTTATTTGGGGAGAGAAACCCACCCGTCTGCTGCTTTCAGCATGTCGGAGCTCAGGGACCAGCAGCCCCGGGCAGGTGTCTCCCCCGCCGGCAGCCCCCGGCCCCCGGGGGTCCCTGGGCCACCCGGAAGGGTCTGTGCCGCTCGGTGTTCTCCCTGGTAAAATGCAGAATTAGGCCCGGCCGGCGTGGCTCCGTGGCTGAGCGTCGACCTAGGAACCAGAGGTTTGGGTGAAACAAACCGAAGTCCTTGTGGTCATGCTGAGCCCGTTGCCGGGAGCAGCGAGCAGAAGGGACCGAGGGTCCCAGCCGGTGGCCGAGCTGGGATCGGAGGGGAGGTGCGCCCTGTCTCACCCCGAGGTGACCTTGCTAATCCTTCCTCCTTTCTTCCTTCCTCCCGTGCACATTTCCTCCTCGGCCTTCCAGACACAGCCAGCTGACATCTGACATCAACCAAATCGCTTTTCTTTTCCCAATGTATTCTTTATTGATTCAGAGAGGAAGGGAGGGAAGGAGGAAGGGAGGGGGAGAGAAAGAAACAGAGAAAGAAACAGAGAGAGAAAAAAACAGAGAGAGAGAAACATCTATGATGAGAATCCTGGATTGGCTGCCTCCTGCACCACCCACAGTGGGGATGGAGCCCGCCACCTGAGCTTAAGCCCTGAACGAGAATCAAACTGTGACTTCCTGGTTCACAGGTCAGCGCTCAACCCCTGAGCCGCACTGAGTGGCCTGAAACAATAAGTTTTGAAGGCTCATTCTTCAAAACGAGCACTTTAAGGTTTCTTCTTCTACTTCCTTCTCCTCCTGCTGCTCCCCCTCCTCCTGCTTCTCCTCCTCCTCCTCCTCTTCCTCCTCCACCACCACCACCATGACTGTTTGGGAACCAGAGAGAAAACATACCCATAGTCCTCTCTGCCTGGAACCCAGTCCCCCTGACAACCCGTGGGCAGAGAGCGCCCAGCGTTGCCTTGAGGTCACCGGCACCCAGTCTCCCAGGGGCCCTCGGGCCCCACCCGGCTTCCTCTCCATCGCCCCGCCCCGGGGTCCCCTTTGTCAGACAGTGAGCTCAGCCTCCTGGCCCCCGGCCCGCTCCCCGCTCCCCACTCCCCTCTCCGTGAGATGCATGCAGCCATTGTTCTCCCCGTCCCCCCTTACTGCCCCCCCCACAGCGCCGGCTGGAGGCCACGGCCCCTGGGACCGCCCACCCCCTCACCAGCCCTTATCACTGCTCTTTCCTGCATCGCAGTCTGCCGGCCCCTTCCCCGCGTCTCCTGTCTGCGGGGCCGTCTGTCTGGCCCGGGCCCAGAGCGGGCGGCCTTCCCCCCATTCTTCCAGAGAAGAATGTCTGTCTGCTTCGCCCGTGGAGGCCGGGGCTTTGGAAAGGGCTGCGTGACCGGAGTGTCTGCCGGTGTGACGCCAGGAACCGCCCGGTGGGCGGCGGGTGTGTGTGTGTGTGTGTGTGTGTGTGTGTCCCCAGCCGGTCACTGTTCAGGCTGTCAGAAGCCCAGCCGCCCGGCACGCCGAGCTGGGAGTTACGGGGCTGTGGGACCTTCCTCGCACGGGGCGCCATCTTCCTCTGTGGCCGCCTCTTAAGGGGTTCTCCAACCCCCCCTGTGGCTTTCCCACGGTGGGCGTGGCCTCTAGCAAGAGCCTCGGGCCCAGGCTGGTGTGGCTCTGTGGATAGAGCGTTGGCCTGCGGACTGAAGGGTCCCAGGTTCTATTCCCGGGCAGGGCCGACCCATGATTCTCTCTCATCATGGATCTCTCTCTCTCTCTCTCTCTCTCTCTCTCTCTCTCTCTCTCTCTCTCTCTCTCCCTTCCTCTTTGACATCAATACAAATACATTTAAAACAACAACAACAACAACAAAACCTTTAAGAACATAATAAAACGAGTGGGGAACTGCACATCCTCCCTCAGAGAAGCTTCGTCCCGCTCTCTCCCCTGCACCTCTCCCCGCCGAGAGGTGCTCGGGGTGCAGGCCCTGGGCGTGGAGGAGATGAGACGGGGTGCGTCTCCTGATCGCATCCCAGAGGCCGTGCGTGGGGGCCCCTTGGGCCTGGAGGGTGGAGGTGTGCTCGGGAGCCGGGCCTCACCGGGTCTCTGTGCCGCCAGGACGACTGGAACGACATCGACCCAGTGAAGAAGAAGGACCTGCACCACAGCAACGGGGACGAGAAGGCCCAGAGCGTGGAGACCCTGCCGCCAGGTACAACCGCCCGCGGCCGGGTCACGGGTTCGATTCCCAGTCCGGGGCGCCGTGTACCTCGGTTGCAGGTTCGGTCCCCTGCCCCCCGGGTCAGGGGATGCGGGCGAGGCAACCAGTCGATGGCCCCCTCTCTCTCTGTCTCTCTCATCCACGTTTCTGTCTCTCCTCCCCTCCTCCCTCCCTTTCACTCTCTCTAAATAAAAACCAATGGAAACATATCCTCAGATGACAATTAAGAAAGAAAGAGAGAGAGAGAGAGAGAGAGAGAGAGAGAGAGAGAGAGAGAGAGAGAGAGAGAGAGAGAAGAAAAGAAAAGAAAAGAAAAGAAAAGAAAAGAAAAGAAAAGAAAAGAATGGGGCCGGAGTCCTTCTTTCACAGGACAGTTTCTCACGGGCGAGCAAAGCTCCCCGTCTCGCCCGCTGCCCCCGAGACACGTGACGAAGGGCTGTGCTGGGCCCGTCGTTGTCTGTAAATGGACGTGTTTGTCTGTAATCCCGGCGTCTCCCTCCCGCTGCTGCGTCATGACCTTTCAGAGGGAGAATATCGGCGGTTTTTTTTAAATTTTTTTTATTTCCCCCCTTTTAAGCAGAGTGAAATGGCATTCAATTGGACGCCACCCAGGAGGCCATAAATACATCGCCGAGCTTTGTCCTTTGATTTAAAATACATTCTCCTTCCCTTCTTGGCCACGTGCCCAGGCGCGCACAGGGCTGGCAGTTCCTTAAGCCCGTCTTCCCACGAGGGCTGGCGTGGAGGCTGGGATGAGGCCGGGGCAGGATGGAGAGTCTCCTGCCGCCCGGCCCCAGGGGACCCGCCCCGACAGGCTTTTCCCTGGCCCCGTCCACCTGTGGGTGGTGGCCGGTGTATGACCGGGGGTCCCCCAAGGGGCACCTGTCAGCGCCCCTGAGGTCTCTAACCCGAGAGCCATGTGTGTGTCTCTGAGCACTTGGGTGTCCATGTGTCTTGTGGTGTTCATCTTCATAAGGTTCATTTTCATAAATTTGCATCATTGTTTATTTATTTATTTACTTATTAAAATATATTTTATTGATTTTTTTTACAGAGAGGAAGGGAGAGGGATAGAGAGCTAGAAACGTCGATGAGAGAGAAACATCTACCAGCTGCCTCCTGCACACCCCCGACTGGGGATGTGCCCGCAACCAAGGTACATGCCCTTGACCGGAATCGAACCTGGGACCCTTCCGTCCGCAGGCAGACGCTCTACCACTGAGCCAAACCATCTGTCAGTTGATCTCTTACAGCTCCCCCCCCAATCTCCCTTGCATTTCCGCTATAGTTTGACAGGCTGTTCAATGGTTCTTTATAACTATTTTCCCCCATTTCTTTGAAAAAAATCTTTGTTTTTAAAATATATTTTTATTGATTTCAAAGAGGAGGGGAGAGGGAGAGAGAGAGAAACATCCATGATGAGGGAGAATTGTAGATCGGCTGCCTCCTGCACGCCCCCACCTTGGGGATGGAGCCCGCCCCCCGGGCCTGTGCCCTGACCGGGAATCGAACCCTGACCTCCTGGTTCCTAGGCCGATGCTCAGCCGCGGGTGGTGATTCTGCACGTGGCACTGCCCCCCCGGGTGGGGTAGGGGGCGCCCTCACGCCGGTCTCTGTGCCCCGTCCCACGCCCTCTCCGCTCCCCACAGGCAAAGTGCGGTGGCGAGACTTCAACCAGGAGGCATACGTGGCGGGGACCATGGTCCGCTCGGGGCAGGACCCCTACGCCCGCAACAAGTTCAACCAGGTGGAGAGCGACAAGCTGCGGATGGACAGAGCCATCCCCGACACCCGGCACGACCAGTGAGTACACGGGGGGCGGCCTGGCCTCGCGGGGGCTCTCCCGGCAGCAGTGCTGACCGCAGTGGTGTCTTCCCGGGGCCGTCCCATGGACCTGAACCCCAGGGGTGGGGAACTGGGCAGAAGGGGCCCATGTGGGTGTGAGGAGGGGCCTGGCCCCCACTCCGGAGCGGGGTGAGTCCCCGCCGACGGGGGCGCAGGAACCCTGCCTGGTGCCGGGAACACGTCTTGGTTCCAGCCCCGTGAGACGGCGGGAGCCCCGTGTCTCTGCTCGGTTTAGGTTTAAAGGCGGGTGGCCCTGCTGTGGCTTGTCCTGTTGCCAGTGGTGTGCTGTTCTTTTTTTAAAATAATTTTTAATAGGTTTAATTGACTTTTTACACAGAGGAAGGGAGAGGGAGAGAGAGAAACATCCATGATGAGAGAGAATCACGGATCAGCTGCCTCTTGCACGCCCCACACTGGGGATTGAGCCCACCACCCGGGCCTGTGCCCTTCACCGGAATGGAACCCTGGACCCTTCAGTCCCCAGGCCAACGCTCTATCCACTGAGCCACACTGGCTGGGGCCTCTCTGTTGCTTATTTATTTATTTATTATTATTATTATTTTTTTTTACAAAATTCCAACTCGAGGGCCGGCATTTCAGTCCCGGGCTGCGCCGCGGAGCCTCGGCAGAAGGGCAGGGCTGACGTCAGCTGTTTGAAAAGCGGGGGGGAAGCGGGATTAAGGACTGTGGGGAAGGACACGGCCAGCTCCTCCTCGGCACGCAGGAAGGATAAACATTGCCGAGGCCAAGGAGAAAGTTAGCATAAACGCAGCCCCGTGGAGGGACGGAGGCCTGGGGGAAGGCAGCGATGATGGGACTCGGAGTCTTCTTTGTAGGGGAATGGAATCGGCGAAAACAGCAGACTCAGGCCCTGCCCGGGGTGGCTCAGTGGATAGTGTCAGCCCACCCACTTGAAGGGCCCCAAGCTTGATGCTGGTCAAGGGCACGTTTCTCTGTTCCGGGCTCGACCCCCAGCCCTTGTCAGGGCTTGTGCAGGAGGCATCCCGTCGATGAGTCTTCTCTCACATTGATGTTTCTCTCTCTCTCCCTCTCCTCCTCTCTCCACTCTCTCTAAAAAAATCCACAGAAAGGTAACCTTGGGTGAGGATTAACAGGCAAACGTAAAGAAACTCAGCCGGCTTGGGAGGGGGCTTCTGCTCTGTGTTAGTGGGCGCTGCGAGGGGTCTCATTCCGGGGGGTCCGGGGCCTTCTCACTTCTCCTTTTGCTGAGGAAAGCGTGTCTCCTACACGTGCTCAGCCCGCCTCCCCTTGTCCGCCTGCTGCTCAGCGGCACGTAAGCAGGTGAATGTCCGGCTGCTGTGCCCTGCAGGTACGGGCGGTGTCTTTGGGTTCAGCACCAGCCTCTCGCTGTTTTGTGCTCCTCTTCCTGTCTCTTCTGCATTAAGTATTGCCCCTCCTTCGGCTCGTTGCATTCCTGGCATATCAGGGTCTCCTATCAATGAGCACTCGTGCTATTTCCCTTACAAGGTGCAGACCCAGCACTCCGCCCTCCACCCACGGCCCCCCTCTGCCCGGATGCTTGTGCGTCATACGGTTGACGTGTGAATTCCACGGCCTCCTGCCGTCCGCAGGGCTCAGATCCGTCCACATGTTTATGTTTCCGAGCCTCCCCTGCGGCTGCCGTCTGAGCACGTCTCCATCTTTCGCTCAGTGACAGTTCGCCGGCGGCGAGTTCAGGGCTCTTTTTTCCTCCTTCCCGTCTGAACACATCTTTATTTCGTGATCGCTCCTGGAGGGTCTTCTCACTGCGGCCCCCGCTCCGGTGAAACGTCAACCTGATCTTATTGGCTTTTTCCTCCGCTGCCTTAAAGGCGTTTCTCTTTCCCTCTGGTTTCCAGCAGCGTGTCGGCGACGTGCCTGGATTTTTATTTTGTTTTATTTTTTTATATGGGAGCTGTTTGGGGTTTGCAGGAGTTTCTGAGTCGTCAGCATCACCCCTTTGTCTGTTTTGCTTGAGCCCCGCTTTCTCTCCCCTCTCCCTGTGGGCCCCTAATTGCAACTTTGTCGGGGGTGTCCCTGCCCCCCCCCCCCCCGTCCCCCCTTCCCCTGTCCCTCTCATGCTCTCGTCTATGTTTTAAGCGAATTGGCGATTCCCTGTGCTGTGATCTAGTTGCAATCCTATTGGCCTTCCTTCTGTTCCCGGACCCTGAATATATCTATTCTGCTTTTCAGTCCACTTATGGTATTCTTTATTTCTGTTACATCTCACTGTGAATGAACAAATAGAGTGCCCCCCCCACACACACAAAAAAAACACACAAATGCATACACACACTTTGAACAATTTTAAAGGCGGTTTTGATTAAAATACATTTCATTGTCAAAATCGAGCTGGCCGCCGTGTGTGTGTGTGTGTGTGTGTGTGTGTGTGTGTGTGTGCGTGTGTGTGTGTGTGTGTGTGTGTGTGTGTGTGTGTACACGCACGCATTTTGTCGGGGACACGCTGTCGAGAGAGATTTAAAAGCTCCGATCATGGTCTCCTCCCCCTCTCCCTCTCCCTCTCAGCAGGACGTAATGTGTACTGTGCACTGATTGAATTGGTTTCTGAGTGCAGCGCTGTGATTTTTATCTTCCCGCCCACTTCTAAAAATCACCAAAATACTCTCTGTCTCGTCCGTCTGGAATCGGGCTTTTGGCTTCCTTCTTGATGCTGTGTTTATGTAGAAGAGAGTTGCAGAATGGCAGGAAATGGGTCTTTTTCTTTTAATTTTTTTTTTACTTTGTCTTGTCTAAACTGAAGTCTCTTTTTCTTTCTGCTCTCACGTTATTGCGACGTTGGCAGGCGTTCCAGCGGGCTGGTTTCCCTCGGCAGCTGGGGGGGTTTTCCCGGTGCCTGAAAGTTCAGCCGGGAGCCGAAAACGGGGTGACACAGGCTCTGTTAGGGGAGAGGCCTGCCCGGCTGTCTCTCGAGGGGAGAACAGTGGCCCTGGCAGAGGGGACCCCCTTTCGAGGGGAGGAATGAGGGAAGGATGGGGCTCAGGGCCCTCGGCGGGCGCCGATTGGTGGCTGACCGTATGGTCCCTAACAGGTACACGGGTAGGCCCTCGGGTATTTCCGGGGTGCAGGGTATGTCCCTGGGGCCCCCTGAGTGTCAACACCCGCTGTGCACACACCCCTGGGCACCCGCAGGGAACGGGGGAGCTGGGAGCCGACAGGACCTACGTACACGGGTTCTTACGGTGTTTGAAACCTCCGGCCTCCCACCTGAGCCGTTTCCCCTGGCCTGCAGGGGCGCGTGGAGCCTGGCACCAGTCAGGACCTGGGTTTGCCAGGGAGACGGAGTCAGAGTGGCCCCAGGGCACTTTTTGCCACCCCGTCGCCCGTCCCAGCCCTGGGCGTGCACCTTGGCACAGGACGGGGGAAAGCCACGTCACACTCTGAGTTGGCAGCTAGTCATTGCCCCTCAGGGCCCTTGTCTGCGTTTTGCACACACCCCCCCCCCCCCCTGAGATTGAGCCCAGAACTGTCCTTGTGTCTCTATCGAGTGGATCAGATCAAAAGCCACTGGTTTGGTTCACAGACGGAGCCCCAGGCTCAGGAAGGCAGAGAGGGACCTGCAGGGCAGAAGGAAGGAGCCGGAGGCGTGGCTCAGGGGTGGAGCATTGACCTCTGGAACCAGGAGGTCAGGGTTCGGTCCCGGTCAGGGCACAGGCCCAGTGGAAGAACGGGGAGCAGAGTGACCCCCTGTCCTGGAGGTGGGCCAGGCACGGAGACACGGCTGTGGGGGCAGTGGGTCTGCATCCCGTGACGTGGAAGAGATGCCTGATCTGGGGCCCGACGCTTCCCGCGTGTCATGTGGAGAAACTCGCTCACGTATGTAACGCCTTCACGGCCAATCCCACGCCCTGGCTCGTGAGGCGGGCGTGTCGGGGGAGAGCGTGTTTGCCCGGCTCTGCCTCCCGGGGCCTCGGCCGGCCACTGCGGCTCTGGCAGGAAGTGTGGTCTTGCTCTGTGGTCAGGCTCTGGTTCCGGAACTCTCTCTTATGGAAGCGTGTGCCTCTCCGCTCCCCTCGCCCATCATCACGTGAGCTCTCCCTGCAAACCCAGCAGCGTCGCGCCCTGGCAGTGACTGAGACGCCCTCTGCCCGGACCCGTGTGTGTGTGTGTGTGTGTGTGTGTGTGTGTGTGTGTGTGTGTATGGAAGCGTGTCTCAGCTCATCCAATGGCCGCAGCCTTGGGGGACTAGCGAGAGTTTCGCTCTGACTTCGTGACGGCCGTCATGGGGAACACACAGCCACATGCGTGTTGTCACCTGTGTTAGAGTCGTGGAGATCTTTCCGGTTTTATTGATTCCAGAGAGGAAAGGAAAAGGGGGGAGAGAGAGAGAGAGAGAGGAGAGAGAGAGAGAGAGAGAGAGAGAGAGACCAGTAATGAGAGAGAATCACGGATCGGCTGCCTCCCGCACGCCCCACACTGCAGATCAAGACCACAACCTGGGCCTGTGCCCTGACCAGGAACCGAACCATGACCTCCTGATCCCTAGGTCGACCCTCAACCTCTGACCCCTGCCGGCCTGGCAGCCACAGCTCCCCAGTCCAAAGACACACGGGTGATTAGCTCGTGGGGTCTTGGTCCACCTCAGGGCGTCTCTCCACGTTGCCATGGAGATGGGCTCGTTTTCCATCCAGTCGAGAGCTCAGATATTGCTGGCCTATGCTCTTGGGGGAATTTAAAACTTAATTAAGGGTTAAAAAAACCACACACATCTGTGTGCCCAGCTTATTCAAGCTTCATTTTGCTGGACAAGACGTTACCAGCGTGGCCACGGCCGTACCAAAGTCTCGGAAAAGGGGGTGAACTTGACCCCACGGCCCGAGCTGTCCTCAGCATCGCGCTCCTGCACACGCCTCCTCTGCTGACTGCGATCAGCTCCCCGCAAGGAAAATAGGAAAGTCCCGGCCGCCAGACCCGCTCCTGCCTGCCCCCCCCCCACCCCGCCCCAAATGACTATGTTGGGCGTCTCTCACTGGCTCTGGGCCGTCAAGACCGCTTGGCACGGATGTGGCTCTTTAGACGTAAGATTTATTGTTTCTTTTGAAGGAATTCTCCAAGCCCTGTCTTCCTTGCTTGGCTCCCAGGGAGGACTTAGGCCCTAGATGCACACACACACACACATACACACACACTCCCTCTGACCTCATGGGCAGGAGCCTGTTTCTAGGTGTTTTTTTTTTTGTGTGTGTGTGTGTGTGTGTGTGTTTAACTTAAAAAACGGGCTGGATGGCTCCTGCATGTCCTGATTGCCAATTCAGGGCACAGCGTGGTGCCTTAGGGCCGAGGAGGAATTTTAACGGAGCGACGTGACATGTGACGTGCCTTCTGAGGAATGCCACCCAGGCCCCGGGGAGACCAGGCTTCCCACGGAGAAAAGGGAAAGGAGAGACCAGGGTGCGAACCGGTCGGTTAAGCTGACTATGGCGTGAGCGTGAAAAAGGCTTCCTCCTCCCTCTTCTGATTCTCTCAGGGCTGGGGACGCGACGGAGGTGTCTGCTGGGCCCAGCAGGCCCACTGTGCGCCCATCGGGCACCCACCGCGCGCGCCACTGCGCACCCACTGTGCGCCCACCGCGCACCCACTGTGCGCCCACCGCGCACCCACTGTGCGCCCACCGTGCGGAGAGGGTCTAACTGCTGGGGCAGCGGCCTCCTAGCAGGAGGCTTCACATCACAGACCCGTTCTAGGGGCGATGTGATGTTTGTTCACACATGTTGAGCCTTGGAGATTCTTCCTCCGCCTGACGGTCAGCTGGATCTTGAAGCTGGGAGGAAATGCCTGTTTGTCCGTGAAGACTTTGCCTCGGGCGCTGTGATAGTGGACACGACTGGCCTTCCTTCCAGAATGTGCTTCCCCCACCCACAGCGACTGGCCGCTTCCTCGTGATTCCGTGATTCGTTAAGCCGTGCCGTGCGGACGCCTCAAATCAGCCAAAACGGCCGTGCCGGGCCTCGGACCTTTTCAGTGGCTTTTCAGTTGCAAGGATTTCCTTGCTCTTTGCAGGAGCTGCTCCTCAGGAGCGGCTTTCCCAGCCAGGAAGGGAAACCAGTGGCCGCTGGCCCTTTCCCGGGGAGCGCGCTGGTCACTGGACCCACCGGTCCTCGCCCGCAGCCGCCTGAGCCTCCCGCTCCGGCCTCACTGCTTAGTGCTCCGGAGATTAGTGCTCCGTCCTCACTGCTCAGTCCTCACTGCTCAGTGCCGTAGCCCTGGCCGCGCTCCGGAGATTGTAACGCCTCCTTCCCTTTCCCGTGGATGTCCCGTTAAACAGGGACTCCTCTGCCCGGCCGGCGTGGCTCAGTGGCTGAGCATTGACCTAGGATCCAGGAGGTCACGGTTCGATTCCCGGTCAGGGCACAGGCCCGGGTTGCGGGCTCCATCCCCAGTGCAGGGCGTGCAGGGGGCAGCCGGTCCATGGTTCTCTCTCATCATGGATGCTTCTCTCTCTCCCTGCGCCTTCCTCTCTGAAGTTCGTATAGACATATTTAAAACAAACACACGTACTTCTGGAAGCGTTTTTTCGTCACCTTGCGTCTTGCTGTTACGCTGGGTCGACCCGCCCGTGCCCACCCCACCCCCAGGGCCTGGCATGGCTGGCCCGGTCCCCGGTGCAAGGACACACTCTCTCCCCCTCAGGTGTCAGCGGAAGCAGTGGCGGGAGGACCTGCCGGCCACCAGCGTGGTGATCACCTTTCACAACGAGGCCCGGTCCGCCCTGCTCAGGACGGTGGTCAGGTGAGCGGGGGAGCGGTTCCTCCCAGGGACCCTGCACGCGGGCTGTGTCCCCTGCACGGCCAGGCCGCGGCCGGCCGGGGCTGCAGGCGGGTCTCAGGGTGCAGGACAAGGAGGGGCCGGCAAGGATGGGGGCAGAGACGGAATTTCCCGCCCTCCCAGCCCTGCAGCCTCCGTGTCTCTCTCCCCCCCTCAGCGTGCTGAAGAAGAGCCCGCCCCAGCTCATCAAAGAAATCATCCTGGTGGACGACTACAGCAATGACCGTGAGTACCAGGCCGCGCCCCCCCTCCCCCGCTGGCCGGGCCGGGCCCCCCCAAACCCGCACGCCGCGCCCGGTACACGGGAGGGTCCGACACTCTCCTCTCGTCTCCCCCCAGCGGAGGACGGGGCGCTCCTGGGGAAAATCGAGAAGGTGCGGGTCCTCAGAAACGACCGGCGAGAAGGTGAGACCGATTCTGACTCTTCCTGAGCCCGGGAACCACGTGGAGGGTTCAGCCCGGCCGGCGGCCGGCGGCCGGCGTGGCCCAGGGACCCGTGAACCAGGAGGTCACGGCTCGATTCCCCGTCAGGGCACAGGCCCGGGTGGCGGGCTCAGATCCCAGTGCGGGGGCTGCAGAGCCGTGTGTGGGCGCAGGTGCGGGTGCAGGTGTGGGTGTGGGTGCAGGTGTGGATGTGGGTGCGGGTGCGGGTGCGGGTGTGGGTGTGGATGTGGGTGCAGGTGGGATGTGGGTGCAGGTGTGGGTGCGGGTGCAGGTGTGGATGTGGGTGCAGGTGGGATGTGGGTGCAGGTGTGGATGCGGGTGCAGGTGTGGATGTGGGTGCAGGTGTGGATGTGGGTGCAGGTGCGGGTGCGGGTGTGGGTGCAGGTGCGGGTGTGGGTGCAGGTGCGGGTGTGGGTGCAGGTGTGGATGTGGGTGCAGGTGTGGATGTGGGTGCAGGAGTGGGTGCCGTGCGGGCTGTGCGGTTCCTGCCTTTCCCCAGGCGCCCTCCCGCCCGCCCTGACGTGCGTCTGCCCTCTCCTCCCCAGGCCTGATGCGCTCACGGGTCCGGGGCGCCGACGCCGCCCAGGCCAAGGTGCTGACGTTCCTGGACAGCCACTGCGAGTGCAACGAGCACTGGCTGGAGCCGCTACTGGAGCGGGTGGCCGAGGTGCGGGCGGGCGGGCTTCTCCCTGGTGCTGGGAGGCGGGGCCTCGGGGACGTGCTCACTGGGGGACCCGTCAGCAGAGCCAGCTGGGGGCAGGGATGGGCAGGGGGGAGCATCCGGCGGGGTAGGACCTGGTCTTGGGACCTTCCTTCGTGCACCTCTGCACCCGCTCTCTGAGTCAAAGGCCATGTGCCCAGGGCCCTGCCCGGCCCCCCGCCTGTGCCGTGTGAGCGCCCGTGGCTGCGGGCGGCGGCCGGGGGCGCTCGGAAGGCCAGTGCCAGCCCTGGCGGGGGGGAGCCTGTCCGGGGCCACGGGCACTGCGTGGGGCCCTCCGCCCCTTCTCCTGCCTCCTGCCTGCCTGTCCGCTCCCTCCCCGCCAGCACAGCCCTTCTCCTCGGAGGGGAGAGGCAGGCGGGAGGGAGGGCCGGGAACCACTCGGGGGGCCGGGTTCTGGGTGCTGACCCCGGCTCCTGTCTGTCTGTTCCAGGACAGGACCCGCGTGGTGTCGCCCATCATCGATGTCATCAACATGGACAACTTCCAGTACGTGGGGGCGTCCGCTGACCTAAAAGGGGGTAGGTGCTCAGCGTCCCCGCCCGCCCGCTCTCCCCTCCCCCCCCAAGTCTGCGCGGCGTCCGGGCCGCTACCGCTCGGGGTCCCTGTGATCTGTGTCCCTGAGTTACTCTCTCCCCACCCATAAGTGATCTTCTTTCAAAAGAGATGGAAGCCCTGACCGGTGTGGCTCAGTGGATAGAGCATTGACCTGTAGACTGAAGGGTCCCAGGTTCGATTCCGGTCAAGGGCATGGACCTTGGTTGCAGGCACATCCCCAGTGGGGGGGTGTGCAGGAGGCAGCTGGTTGGTGTTTTCTCTCTTGTCGGTGTTTCTAACTCTCTGTCCCTCTCCCTTCCTCTCTGTAAAAAATCAATAAAATAGAGAGATTGCAGAGAGATGTTTGCAGGCCCGGGAACCTGCCCCTGCCCCCTGCCCCCTGACCTGGGGCGTGTGGGAGGCAGGGGGCAGACTACCCCACGCTTTCCTCGCCTCCTTCCAGTCCCTGGATACGCCAGGGGGGCCCCCATTCCTCCTCTCATTTCACCTGTGTTCTCGGCATTTTAATTTGAGAGGGAAGGGGGAGGGGAAACGGAGCCAGCGGCCGGCTCTCGTCAGCGCCGTGTCCTGTCTGTGCCCGGCAGGCTTCGACTGGAACCTGGTGTTCAAGTGGGACTACATGACGCCCGAGCAGAGGCGCGCCCGGCAGGGCAACCCGGTCGCCCCCATCAAGTAAGTGCCGGGTCGCAGGGAAGTCTCTGCCCCCCCCAAACCCCACATCCCCCACTCAGCTCACGCGGGAGCTGCCCGAGAGCACGGGGCGCAGTCCGTGGAGGTGTCTCTGTCCCCATGACCCCCCGCCAGGCAGGCCCCCTGCTCGGGGTGCCCCCGTTCCTAACAAGGGACCAGTGAGGTCACGGGGTTGACCTCAGGGACCAGTGGGGTCGGGCGTTGACCTCTGAGACCGACGGGGTCGCAGGGGTGACCTCAGGGACCAGGAGGAGGGCAGGGCCGGCGGAGGCCGCGGCTGCTGCCTGTGCGATTGGACGTGAGGCACACGTAACAGAGCTGCTGAGCTGGCCTTGACCTCTCTGTCCTCTCCCCTCCTGCCCCGCAGAACCCCCATGATCGCCGGGGGGCTGTTCGTGATGGACAAGTCCTACTTTGAGGAGCTGGGCAAGTACGACATGATGATGGACGTGTGGGGCGGCGAGAACCTGGGTACGTACATAAGCGCCGCCGTCGGCCGCCACCACACGCGTCCGGTGCTGGGGGACCCGGGTCCGGGCCTGCCCCCACGTGGGGCAGAAGCGGCGGAGGGAGGCCTGGAAGAGACCCCGGGCATGCAGGGGGCCGATTGGGGAAAAAAGCATTCATCGGGCACAATTGGTCCCCACGTCAGTATAAATGGCCGCCCTTTTAGCCGTTTTGGGTGAAATACACATTTATTTCAGAGAGGGAGGGAGAGAGAGAGAGACATCCCTGATGAGAGAGCATCACAGACCGGCTGCCTCCTGGCACGCCCCACACTGGGGATGGAGCCCACAACCCGGGCCTGCGCCCTGACCGGGACTCGAACCCTGACCTCCTGGTTCCTAGGTCGATGCTCAACCCCTGAGCCGCACCGGCCAGGCCGTAGTTTTGTGTTTTTTGAATGTGTTTGGATTGACTTCAGCGAGGGGGGGAGAGGGAGCCCTGGGGTGGGGGCTGTGTGCAGAGCCCCCGCCCCGGGTCACCCCGCCTCTCCCCGCAGAGATCTCCTTCCGCGTGTGGCAGTGCGGGGGCAGCCTGGAGATCATCCCCTGCAGCCGCGTGGGCCACGTCTTCCGCAAGCAGCACCCCTACACCTTCCCCGGCGGCAGCGGCACCGTCTTCGCCCGGTGAGCGGCCGCGGCGAGGCCCCCCGGACGGGGCCCATCGGGGACGGGGGACGCGGTCCGTCCACAGACCGCGGGCGCCTCTCCCGGGCACGGGGCTGCGTCCCGTGTTGTCCCGGGACTTGCAGGACTGTTTGGTCTGCTTCCGCCAACCTGGGCGCGTTCCGAAGGAACACAGCAAGGCGGCCCTGACCGGTGTGGCTCAGTGGTAGGGCGTCGGCCTGCGGACTGAAGGGTCCCAGGTTCGATTCCGGTCAAGGGCATGGACCTTGGGGGCGGGCACATCCCCACTTGGGGGTGTGCAGGAGGCAGCTGATGGATGTTTCTAACTCTCTATGCCTCTCCCTGTCTCTCTGTAAAAAAAAAATATCTATACTAAAAAAAAAAAAAAAAATAGCAAGGACCCACGCTTGTCCCTCGGGAATCTGTAGATGCTAACGGTAAAGCTGTGTGCACGCCGGTCAGCCTGGCCGTGAGGTGGTGGGGATGCCCGGAGCAGGAGGGGGGACTGCGGGCCCCGGACAGCAGGTGCAGGCGCTGAGATGGAGGGGGTCCGGGGCACACCTACGGGGCAGGGGGACGGGGAGTGGCCGGAGCCTGGGGCACGGGACGGGGGACGGGGCGGGGGGCACAGGCCCGCCCAGGCCGCACCCTGTGGGTGCTGAGCAGGGCCAGCCGACCCCCCACACCGGGGACCTTCCCGTGGGGCCCCCCACGCGGACACACCCACAGCTCACGGGGACCCGCTCTGTCCCCAGCAACACGCGGCGGGCAGCGGAGGTGTGGATGGACGAGTACAAGAACTTCTACTACGCAGCCGTGCCTTCCGCCCGGAACGTCCCCTTCGGCAAGTACGTGCCCCGGGGCCCGGGAGGGCGTGGCGGGGCCGGGCTAGCCTGAACCCCAAAACCGACGGCGTTGAGAAGAGCCGCCCAGGCGACACTGGGGGACCTCTCTCTGCTCCAGGGAGGGCGTGGGGGGAGGGGGACGGGGTCCAGGGACAGGGGTGATCCCGCGCCACGCCTGCCCGGCCCTGCCCTCGGGGCCGGTGCTGGGAGGGGGGGAAGGGCCCCCCCCCACCCCCCCTGTTCCGGACGGGCATGCGAGCCTCTGGCTTCCCCCCTCAGCATCCAGAGCCGCCTGGAGCTGCGGAAACAGCTCAGCTGCAAGCCGTTCCGCTGGTACCTGGAGAACGTGTACCCTGAGCTGCGGTAGGTCTGTGGACCCGGGTCTCCCCGACAGGGCGTGGGGGCAGCGGAGGGCGGCCAGGTGCCAGGCGCTCACCGTAAGCCGGGGTATGTGCCCTGCCCGGCGTCGCTCGGTGGACAGAGCGTCGGCCTGCAGACCGAAGGGTCCCGGGTTCGGTTCCGGTCAAGGGCACGTGCCCCGATTACAGGCTCCTCCCTGGCCTGGGCCCTGCTCAGAGCACGTGCAAGAGGCAACCGTTCGACGTGTCTCTCTCACATCCGTGTCTCTGTCTTCCCCTCCCTCTCCCTCTCCCTAAAAACCAATGGGAAAATGTCCCCGGATGAGGACTAACAAAAATTAAGATTAAAAAAGGGGGTTTGTGCTCAGTGAGGATGGAAGTGCGGATGTGGGGTGGGGGCTGGGGGGCCTGCCCACCCTCCTTTCTCGTTCCTGCCGGGCCGGGCGTGGGCCGGGCCCTGGGGCTCAGCGGACGGGTCTCTGTTGCCATCAGGGTCCCCGACCACCAGGACATCGCCTTTGGCGCCCTGCAGCAGGGCACCAACTGCCTGGACACGCTGGGTCACTTTGCCGACGGCGTGGTCGGCGTGTACGAGTGTCACAACGCCGGGGGCAACCAGGTGGGTTTACCCGGGGCCCCGGGGAGCGGGGGACGAGGGGGGCTGAGGCGATGCGTCCGAGCTGCCTCTTCTCCTGGCCTGGGGAGGTCTTCTCCTGCTGGCCACCCCCCCTGCTGGCCACCCCCCCCTGCTGGCCATCCCTCCTGCTGGCCAACCCCCTTCTAACCACCCCCCCTGCTGGTCACCCCCTCCTGCTGACCACCCCCCCTGCTGACCACCCCCCTGCTGGCCACCCCCCCTGCTGGAGACACCCCCTCCTGCTGGCCACCCCCTCCTGCTGGCCACCCCTCCTGCTGGCCATCCCTCCTGCTGGCCACCTCCTCCTGCTGACCACCCCCCTGCTGATCACCCCCCCTGCTGGCCACCCCCCCTGCTGGAGACACCCCTTCCTGCTGACCACCCCTCCCGCTGACCACCCTCCTGCAGTCTGGGGGGCAGATGGGGTCTCCGAGATTCTGACTTGTGCCTGGAGCCAAGTTGAAGGGCCGAGGGCACCAGCCCAAGTCTGAGGTCCCCTCAGGAGGGAAGGAAGCCAGGAGAGGTTGTGGGGTCACCAGGCCAAGTGCCGATTGCGGCTCCCCGATGCCCCCCAGTGGTAGGCTTGCCTTGAGGCAGCGGTCGGCAAACTCATCAGTCAGCAGAGCCAAACATCAACAGCACAACGATCGGCATTCCTTTGGAGCGCCGAAAACCGGCTTCTGCGCACGGGCTGCGAGGCTTCCATCGCACTGTACGTGCGCGTCCACACGTGGTATTTTGTGGAAGAGCCACACTCCAGGGGCCAAAGAGCCGCGTGTGGCTCGCGAGCTGCAGTCTGCCGACCACTGCCTTGAGGCATAGAGTCATCGATGGCTCTGGGCTCGTCAGGTTCACACACACACACACACACACACACACACACACACACAGACACTCACACACACCCCTGCACCCGCCCCCCTCCCGGCCCGGCGCCCGCTGACACGCGTGTGTTGCAGGAGTGGGCGCTGACCAAGGAGAAGTCGGTGAAGCACATGGACCTGTGCCTCACGGTGGTGGACCGGACGCCCGGCTCGCTCATCAAACTGCAAGGCTGCCGGGAGAACGACAGCAGACAGGTACGCCCGCCCTCCTGCCCGGCGGTGCCCACGGCGGTGCCCACCCCCAGGGGCCGCCCGGCTCCTCCCACCCGCTCCCACCATGATGTCCAGCTACCGCGTTGGACTCAACTCCTGCTGCCCCTGCACCCCACATGGCGGGCTCCTGGCATTGGGGGGACACACAATAGGTCCTGATGTCGGGGAGCGGGGGGTGTGGGCGCTTGAAGGCTCGTGGGTCTCCTGCCAGCACCCACCCCCACCCCCACCCCATCATCAGCTCCTGCCCAGGGTCATTGTCCTGAGCCGAGTCTTTCCAGGTCCTCTGTTCCCGCGTGGGCCTGCCCTCCGGCTGACCAGACAGGGCTCCTGTGAAGGCTGGTGAGCCCGCTCTGGGCTGGGCAGGGGGAGGGCCTGCGATGCCTGCCCGTCATTTCCCCTCAGGGCCTGCGGGGGGCGCTGCGGTCCCTCGGGAGCTGTCTGTGGCACTGTGTGCGCATCCCATGCGTGGTACCTGGACGTCTGCTTGTGGCCGGCAGTCCGGGGACTCCCGTGTCAATGAGATGGTTCTGACGGGAGGGGCCTGTGTGGCGAGGAAGTGACTGTTACACCGAGAGGCCATGGTCCCCTGTCCCGGGCATCCGGGTGGCGGCCGAGGGGAGCCGGAGCGAAGGGGTGATGAGCGGCAGCAGCAGTCACCGCCCCAGCTCATCTGATCGCCCTGAGTTTCAGGGTCGCAGGTTGTGTGGCAGGTCCAGAGCTGGGATGCTGGGCTCTTCGTTGCTCTGCTCCCCTCCTCCCGCCCCTCCAGGCCTGCCCCGTTTGCCCTCGGAGGAGAGGTTCTCAGCTATTTTTATCTCGATGCCGCTCGGTCTTGCCAGGTGGAATATTTGGTTTCCGGACACGTCCATGTGTGCGTGTGGTGAGCACATTTGCAGAGTCGGGGGACGGGGTGGGGAGAATAGGAGGAAGGAAATTCCCTTCCACGCTGTCTGCAGAAGGACTTCGGAAGGGGCGCGGGACCAGCATCACAGAGCACGTCCACGAAGGGAGAGCTCGGGGAGAAACACCGTTTTTTAGGAACAAGCATGGGGGGGTTTGACATGGGCGTACACAGAGTGAGATTTCAGTCGGGCTGGTTCTGGGCTGGGTTTTCTGACCTGGTAGGCGGATGAATGGGTGGAGGTTGGCTGGTTGGGTGAGGGATTGATTGGTCATTGAGTTTGGTAGGTTGGTTGGTTGAGTTCAGATGGTAGATTGGTTGGTTGATTGGTTGTATTCATTCAGTAGGTAGGTTAGTTGGTTGAGCTCATTCAGTTGGTAGATTGGTTGAGTTCATTCCGTTGGTAGTTTGATTGGTTGAGTTCAGTTGGTAGGTTGGTTGGTTGAGTTCATTCCGTTGGTAGTTTGATTGGTTGAGTTCAGTTGGTAGGTTGGTTGAGTGGTTAGTTGGTAAGTTGGTTGGTTGGCTGAGTTGTTGGCAGGTTGGTTGGGTTTGGTTGGTAGTTTGGTGTTAGGCTGTGCGTGTGTGTACACACACAGTAGTAGGACAGTTACAAGTATTTGGATGGCTGTATTTTACAAGTAGGACATTCAGAACCCAACAAAATGGTTTGGTTCCAACCATGGAGAACATTGGGGACTCTGAGTCCAGTTTCCCACACGCACCTAGGAGCCCACACACCGGTGGGGGAGACACAGCATAGAAACGGGTTCCTCAACCGGACGCTCTGTCCACAAAGGCATTTGCTGTTAGTGGACCTGACACTGTGTCTCTGGCTCACCTGAGTGCGGTCCCTAAGTGGGAGCCCCGAGGCAGGGGCTTGAGGTGGGATGGGGGGGCGGGATTAAGCCCTTGAGCTGGGCAGCTTCCTGCCCCTCCTTTCTTAGGGTGTAATACCAGACAAGCCTCCTGGTGAGTGGATTTCCCTCCAGGAAAACACTGGGCCGTGGACAGGGTGAGGGGACAGGAAGGGGCCAAAGGAGAGGGGGCCCCAGAGAAGAGCTTTGAGGTGCAAACCAGCCTGGCCCTGGACTTCTCTCCGGGGCCCTCGGTGGGCCTGCGGCTGCGGCTGCTGCAGCTTGGGACAGTTGCCAGCTGCCCTCGTTTAGGACCAGAAACCAGAGAAGCATGTGTGTGTTGGTTTTGATGCAGCGCTAGGGCCCTGGACACAGGCCCGATGGTGTGTGTGTGTGTGTGTGTGTGTGTTAACATGCTGCTAACTTGTAAACACACACACACACACACACACACACACACACTTATTCCTCTCCCTCTCCCTCCTGGCCGAAGGGAGAGGGAGAGAGAGAGAGAGAAACATCGATGATGAGAGAGAATCCTGGATCAGCTGCCGCCTGCACACCCCTGACTGGGGATGGAGCCCATAACCCGGGCGTGTGCCTGACCGGGAATCGAACCCTGACCTCCGGGTTCCTAGGCGGGCGCCAGCCGCAGAGCCAGGCCGGCCGGCGGGCTGTCTGTGTTCCGGCCGGAGCTCACGCGAGGCGTCCTCCCGTCTTTTGCAGAAATGGGAGCAGATCGAGGGCAACTCCAAGCTGCGGCACGTGGGCAGCAACCTGTGCCTGGACAGCCGCGGGGCCAAGGCGGGCGGCCTGAGCGTGGAGGCGTGCGGGCCGGCGCTGTCCCAGCAGTGGAAGTTCTCGCTGAACCTGCAGCCGTAGGCGCCGGGCCGCGGGCCGTCGGGGATCCGTGGATCGGTCGCGCCTCTCGAACTCTCCGCGAAACGATATACCTCAGCGCTCCACCGCCTGTGCGGCCGGCACCTCGGCTCGGACACCTCGGCTCGGACACCTCGGGCGGCGGACTCAGCGGCGAGGGCAGAGGCTGATCTCCCCTCCCTGGGCCACCGCCCCTTCCCGGCGGCTCCGCCTTCTGGCCCCGCCCGGACACCGGAAGCATCACCCTCCGGGGGGTGCCACAGCCCGGGCTCCACGGGGGACGGGAGGGGAAGGGGCACGTGCTCCATGGCGGCGGGAGAACTCTCCGGAAACCTCCGTGTGCCCCACCGCCAGTCCGCAGGGCCCACCGCGCCGACGGCCACCTGCAGGTCTGGTCCACCTCCCGCCGCCTCCACACGCCGAGAAGGACCTGCCGTGTCTGACCGTGAGCGTGACCGTGAGCGTGTGCGGGGACACGCACTATAAATACATACAGAGCGCAGGGCGTGCCCGATGGTTTCTGTAGCTCCTCCCCCTGTGATGCCCCCTGGAGCAGCGGCCGGGCCCCTGGGGGCGGCCCTGGCAGCCGGGGGGCCCGGAGGCTGGACGCCTCTCTGGCCGGTGCCAGCTCGGGAGCCGCTGCCCGGTGTTGGCGTCCACTCTGCGTGCCCCTGGCACCCGCCAGCCTGGACTGGTGTGGACAGACGTTGCTTTAGGTCTTTTTAAATGAGATTTCTTTTCTCGACGGAAAAATAAACAACAAAACTGACCCCACAGCTCCCGGTAGAGGCAGGAACTGTTCCAGGCCAGCGACGGGCCGAGGGCGCGGGTCCCGGCAGCTGGCTGGGGCCCGGGCCCTGGACGCTGGGGCCAGTCCGTCCCTCCGGGCCCAGGACGGTGGGGACAGCCCTGTCTGCTCAGTGACACTGAGGCCCCGGGGCCTGAGCAGCGGCCGGGGGTCAGGGGTCAGGGGAGCAGGCGTCCGTGTGAACCAGGGACGGTGACGAACGGAAAGTAACCACAGGGAGAGATGCGGGGCGCCCCCTGGAGGGCGGGGTGTCCCGTGGAGCCTCCTTGCCTCTGGAGGGACAGGCCAGCCCCAGCCCCAAGGAGGCTCTGTGGTCACCTGGCCACACTCCCCTCGCCCACCCCCGGCCCCTCTCCCACACCTGCCTGGTCTCAGGCCGGCCGCACCCCCAGCCCCCAACACACACACAGGGTGGCCTGTGCCTCCTGCAGGCACATTCCCAGGCCCCTCCGGGAGGGACTGGGCATCACCGACCACAAATGGCCCCGGGAGATCCTGCCAGTCACACTGCCACGGGCTCCTCTGTCCTGCTCATTCCCTTCTTTTAAGATCAGAGTTGAATCTTTTTTTTTTTAATTGATTTCAGAGAGGAAGGGAGAGGGAGAGATAGAAACATCCATGATGAGTAAGAATCATGGATCAGCTGCCTCCTCCATGCCCCACGTTGTGCCCTGACCGGGAATCGAACCCTGACCTCCTGGTTCAACCACGGAGCAACGCCGGCCAGGCCTGATGGTCTCTTTCAGGAGAGGGAGCACGGTGGGTCTCTCTTCCTCCATATGTGTTTGCTCGTGACATGGATGGGGCGTGGCAACATGGCGGGGGGCTCCCCCGCCCCCCACTTCTCCCTCCCGCCCCTGCCAGGCAGTGCCAGGGGTGGCCTCACACACGAACGTCTCCAGAGGCCCCTGGAGAGGCGGGCACCTGTGCTGGCCCCGGGCACTGCCCGCAGGCTCCGCCCCGCGCCTGGGCCCCCTCGTCACACCTGTCCCCGCGCTGTTCCTGCTGTCAGAAAACCACGCCCCCGTGGGAACCAGACCTGGCTCAGACGGGAAACATCCTCATCGGGTTCCTGATCCGCCACCCACTCACCTGCCCCCGACCCAGAAGCCTCGGCGCCCTTGGATCTACGGGGACGTCCTGCCCCCCCGAGGGCAGGCCCGTGGCCTTGACCTTGGCCCTGGCCCTGGGGGCGCTGGGAGCAGAGGTGGCCGAGCCCCCTCCTCCCCCAGGCAGCCATGTTTACAGGACACAGCGTGCCAAAGCGATTTCCTGCGGGGGGTGGCGGCGTATCTTGTCGTCTTGGGGCCCATCTCCCCCCCAACCACCCGCCACCCCCTTTTTACACACGAAGGTTCTTCCCCCCAGAGCCCCCTGAACAAAGCGGGCGCCGCTCCCGCCCCCCTGTGGCCGTCTCTCCGGGGTCTCCATCGATGGCGTCCGTGGGTCTGTTTTGCAAATTCAAAAATCTAGTTTGGTAACTTGTTGTTTTTTTTCCCTCCCCCTGTTGGTTTTTTTTTTTTTTTTTTTTAAAGAACTGCTGTACAGAGCTTGTGCTTTGTCCGTTTTATAGATGGAAACCATCCTCGAAAACCGTTTTAACTTAAAATAAAGAGACGATGCTTTCTAGAGAAGGCGCCCGGGTCGCCGCGGCTGTCCTTGCACTTGGGGGAGGGGGGTGTGAGGGCGGAGGGGGTGTCTGTCTGCGCGGAGGGGGGCTGCTCGCTGCCATTTCTTATCACACGTCCAGAATGCATCCTCCCTTCACACACACACGCACACGCACACGCACACGCACACACACCGCCCTTTTATTTATTCTCATCCGATGGTGATCACCATCATCTTTCCCTTCAGACAGCCACACAGGCCCGCTGCCCCCCTGAGAGGCCAACCAGCTCCAGTCAGCACAGCAGCGCCGTGTCCATCAGAGTGTGTGTGTGTGTGTGTGACTGTGCAAACCCGTGTGCATGTGTGTGTGCGCGTGTTGCTCTGGCAGCAGGGAGAAGGCTGTTCACACTATCTGCTGAGCAGCTCTGTGCTGCCCGTGGTCCTGGAGCCCGGAGGGAGGGAGGCGCGTCTCCCGCCAGCAGGAGGGCCAAGCACCTCATCCGCCCAGTCTCTCCAGGAGGGTTTGGGGAAGGAGGCTCTTACAGGCCTGGCCTCACCTCACCAGCCAGGCCCGCCCTCTCCCTGGCCTGTCTCTCTGTCTCTGTCTCTATCTCACTCTGTCTCTGTATCTCTGTCTCTTTGTCTCTGCCTCTCTATCTCTGTCTCTCTTTCTGTCTCTATCTGCCTGTCTCTGTCTCTCTCTGCCTGTCTGTCTCTCATTCTGTCTGTCTCTATGCCTCTGTCTATCTCTGCTTCTCTGTCTCTCTCTGCCTCTGTCTCTATTTCACTCTGTGTCTCTGTCTTTGGGACTTTGTTTCTCTCTGTGTCTCTCTCTGCCTCTGTCTCTGTCTGTATCTCTGTCTCTCTCTGCCTGTCTCTGTCTCTCTGTCTCTGTCTCTTTGACTCACTGTCTCTCTGTCTCTATCTCACTGTCTGTCTCTCTGTCTCTGTCTATTGAAAAAGCCCAGTTTCCTCCCAGATGCAGCTTGTTCACTGCTGCCTCCTTCCCCTGGAGCAGAGGTAGCCCGGGAGGCAGGAAATCCGACGTGTGGACGTCCCCGTGCAAGGAGTCAGGGCAGGGGGGTCTGTCTGCGTGTCCGTGGGTCCCTCCATGGGAACAGGGACCAGAGGGACACAGCCCGCCTCTCAGGGCCCAGGCCCAGGCCCGCGCTCACAGCCAGGCTGCCCAGGTGAGGGAATCATCAATTCCTAACCCCCAACCAGTGCCACCTGGGCACCAGCCCCCCCTGCAGCACCACCCGGAGAGGGGGGCCAGAGGGCAGGCCTGGGGCCGCCCAGCGCGGGACCTTCTCTGCGCTCCACCCGCTGCTGGAAGGGGACCGGTCAAGGCTGCCTGCTCTGGGCACTCGGAGGCCGGGCCCTGCTGGAGGCCGCAGGAGCTGAGGGCCTGGCAGGGAGGGACCGAGACCGACCGCCCAGAGCCCACGGCCAGACCCGGCCCTGCCCGTCTCCGTCCTCACCACTCCCGCCAGCACTGCCAGGTGGACCTGCCGGCCAGGAGAAGACCAGGCCCAGAAGCCCAGCCCAACAAGAGCCACCAGGCCCGAGGTTCAACCACTGAGATGCAATTACGCTGAGAAGGACGGAACACGCTCTTCATAAAAAACACACTCTGCCCGGCCGGTGTGGCTCAGTAGTTGAGCTTCAACCTTTGGACCAGGAGGTCAACGTTCGATTCCCGCTCAAGGGCACATGCCCAGGTTGTGGGCTCAATCCCCCGTGGGGGCGTGCAGGGGGCAGCCCATCAGTGATTCTCGCCATGGATGTTCCTCTCCCTCTCCCTTCCTCTGTGAAATCAATAAAAAATACTTAAAAAACAAAACAAAAAAAACCCCCACACCCACTTTGATGCCATAATGTCCACAGACAGGGGCACAGCCCTTGGGACAGACACAGGAACAGCCACCAAGGCCATCGCGGACCTGAATCTCATTGGCCCCGACCCCTGGCACCTGCACCTCCAAACCGCGCACCTGCCTGCTGGGCCCCTGGGTGCCTGAGACCAGCGCCCCCTTTTCCTCTCCTTCCCCCTGTGGAGTGACAGCGTCCGTAACCGCTATGCCAGGCCTGTCCCCCGAGTTCGTAATTTGGGAATGAAGTTACTTTCTAGACTCTCTGCTCCAAAGACGGGGCAGGCCTCCCCGGATGAGTCAGCCGAGGTTCCAGGGGGGCTCTGAGCGGGAGAGGAGAGCTGACGCTGTGACGGGCGAGCCAAGTCTTTCCAGGGCGTCGGGGGGGAGGGGAGTGTGTGTTGTCCGTGGGGTGGACACGGACGGACATGCACCTTTGGGCCCAGGGGATGGGCCGGGGGTTTTAGGCAGGACAGTGGCCACTCAAAGGTCTTAGTCCTGCCTCCTGAGCCTGTGAGTGTCAGCTAAGGAACACGGGTCTCTGCAGCTGTGATTAGCATCCGGGTCCCGATATGGAAAAATGGCTCTAGATCCGCGGTCGGCAAACCGCGGCTCTCGAGCCACATGCGGCTCTTTGGCCCCTGGAGGGTGGCTTTTCCACAAAACACCACGGCCTGGGCGAGTCTATTTTGAAGAAGAGGTATTAGAAGAAG